CTTAACACAGCAGAACATCACACCAATAACGTCCTTAACACAGCAGAACAACACACCAATAACATCCTTAACACAGCAGAACACCACACCAATAACATCCTTAACACAGCAGAACACCACACCAATAACGTCCCAATACAGCAGAACAACACACCAATAACGTCCCACAGCAGAACACACCAATAACATCCTAACACAGCAGAACACCACACCAATAACATCCCTTTAACACAGCAGAACAACACAGCAATAACGTCCTAACACAGCAGAACACTACACCAATAACGTCCCAACACAGCAGAACACTCCACACCAATAACGTCCTTAACACAGCAGAAACACACCAATAAACATCCTTAACACAGCAGAACATCACACCAATAACATCCCAACACAGCAGAACACCACACCAATAACACCCAACACAGCAGAACAACACACAGCACAACATCCTTAACACAGCAGAACACCACAGCAATAACATCCTAACACAGCAGAACACTGTACAGCAATAACATCCTAACACAGCAGAACACCACAGCAATAACATCCTAACACAGCAGAACAACACACCAATAACATCCTTGTCACAGCAGAACAACACAGCAATAGCATCCTAACACAGCAGCACCACCAATAACATCCTTAACACAGCAGAACACCACACCAATAACGTCTCATCAGCAGAACAACACACCAATAACATCCTTAAACACAGCACAACACAGCAATAATATCCTAACACAGCAGAACGCCAGCACAACATCCCAATACAGCAGAACAAATACACCAATAACATCCTAACACAGCAGAACAACACAGCAATAGCATCCTTAACACAGCAGAACACCACACCAATAACATCCTAACACAGCGCAGAACACCACACCAATAACGTCCTAACAGCAGAACAACACACCAATAACAACCTTAACACAGCAGAACACCACACCAATAACATCCCCAACACAGCAGAACACCACACCAATAACATCCTAACACAGCAGAACACCACACCACAATATCCTCTTAACACAGCAGAACACCACACCAATAACATCCTTACCACAGCAGAACACCTCACACCAATAACATCATCCCAACACAGCAGAACAACACACCACAACAACATCCCAACACAGCAGAACACCACACCAATAACACATCCTTAACACAGCAGAACACCACAGCAATAACATCCTAACACAGCAGAACACCACACCAATAAAATCCTTAACACAAGCAGAACAACACACACCAATAACATCCTTAACACAGCAGAACAATACCACCAATAACGTCCTTAACACTGTTAAGAACAACACACCAATAACATCCTTAACACAGCAGAACAACACAGCAATAACATCCAACACAGCAGAACAACACAGCAATAACATCCCACAGCAGAACAACACACCAATAACATCCTTAACACAGCAGAACAACACACCAATAACATCCTCAACACAGCAGAACAACACACCAATAATATCCTCAACACAGCAGAACACCACAGCAATAACATAATTTAACACAGCAGAACACCACAGCAATAACATCCTTAACACAGCAGAACAACACACCAATAACATCCTTAACACAGCAGAACAACACAGCCATAACATCCTTAACACAGCAGAACACCACAGCAATAACATCCTAAACACAGCAGAACACCACAGCAATAACATCCTTAACACAGCAGAACAACACGCCAATAACATCCTTAACACAGCAGAACACCACAGCCACAGCAATAACATCCTAAACACAGCAGAACACCACAGCAATAACATCCTTAACACAGCAGAACAACACGCCAATAACATCCTTAACACAGCAGAACACCACAGCAATAACATCAACACAGCAGAACCACCACAGCAATAACATCAGCCAACACCAATAACATCCTAAACACAGCAGAACACCACAGCAATAACATCGTAACACAGCAGAACACCGACCAATAACGTCATAACACAGCAGAGACACCACAGCAATAACATCGTAACACACCAATAACATCCTAAACACGGCAGAACACCACAGCAATAACGTCGCCAACACAGCAGAACACACCAATAACGTCGTAACACAGCAGAACGCAAACCAGTAACATCGCCAACACGGCAGAACACCACACCAATAACGTCGCCAACGCAGCCAGAACACCACACCAATAACATCCTTAACACAGCAGAACAACACACCAATAACGTCGTAACACCAATAACAACCTAAAACGGCAGGAGTGACAAAAAGTATCTGAACCCCCAGCCATCTCACTACCCACCTGAAGGGGATATAAAGGATCATTCTGTAGGGGATTTAACACTTGCCTGGGTTTATGGAGGCGAGACTGAAGGACTTAGCCCGGGATGCTTATAGACGTTGGTATCTGTGCCTCCTCGTAACTTGGTGGTGGTGAGAGAGAGAGAGAGAGAGAAAGAAAGAAAGAGAGAGAGAGACAGAACGTAATTAATAGGAAGAAAGAAAGCAAGCAAGCAAGCAACAGTCAGACAGACAGAGCTACCTGCTACACGTAAAAGTCACTCTGTGTAAAGTTTCCCTTCATTGCACTACATGATTTGACTTCTTCAGGTTGTAGTTTATTAAGAGGGAATTTTAAAACCTAATTTGTGTACGTCTAAATTATAGGTGGAATATCTACCACTTAACTAAGATTTGACGTTTAGTTTAAGTGAGCATAAAGAAGATGGTCATTTAGAGGGAAAATTTATCGTAAGGATGTTTGAGAATTGATCTTTCTTGTCGTGAAGTAAATACGGGGATTTGAGTTATTTATCACATATATCCAGGTTAAGAATCTATCGTAAGTTAGAAAGAAAGGGAGGAGTGGGAGGGGAAGGGAGGGAGGTAGGTAGGTTAAGTAGGGGTGAATATTTTAGACGTAAGGATATTTTAAGGAGCATCTCTCTCTGCCGACCGTCTTTAATTCCACCGCGTCGCCCCACCTACTATGAATGGCCAGGCGGGTGTCTTTAACGACCGTCCCTAGTGATCCATGAAGAACTACTACCTTAACCCCGCTTAACTACCCTCTCCTCACCCAACTTACCCACCCTTACCCTACCCACCCCTTACCCACCTATCCCACCCAACCCACCCCTTACCCATCCAACTCACCCACCCGACCACCCATGCCCACCTGGATACCCACTTTAAGACTCAAACACACCCTGAGGTCTGTCTACTCAGCACTCAAACACTTTCCGAAGAACTTGAGAAACAACTTGAGGTTATTGGAGTATGGCTTCAAGGAGTAGATCCGAGGGAGCATGAAGCAATCAATGTCCTACTCCTGCCGGTCATTTCTACCATGAAGGACCGGTTAATGGTGGCTAGATAAAGCCTCCTTAAAGCGCCGGTCGCATCTTCCATAGAGCCATTAAACGCCATGAACCATAATTTTTAACCTCCGAAGCTTCTAATTGTTTTGTCTTATGTGTTACACCATAAGAGAAACACTAACACCCTGAGTCTCTTAAAGGAGGGGTGGGGGGGGGGGTTAAAGCTTTAATTAATCTCCATTGTAACTAAAGATCAACGTGTCTGGTTAAGGTCGAGTCTTAGTGTAATTCTGACGCCATTTTATCCACCATCTGTGCTTTTAATGTGGTTTTGATTTTATCTGGTTATGGTAGAGTCTCAGTGTTGTTCCGACGCCATTTTGTTCATCCTTTTCTATATTGTGTTTTTGGTTTAATTTAGACACTTATAAAGATGTTACCCCCTGTCGACATCACCTGTAGAGACTGACCTGTAGACGGGGACCTGTAGAGATTAACCTGGAAAAACTGACCTGTAGAGACTGACCTGTAGACGGGGACCTGTAGAGATTAACCTGGAAAAACTGACCTGTAGAGACTGACCTGTAGAGCCTGACCGGTAGATGGTGACCTGTAGACGATAACTTGTAGAGACTGACCTGTAAACTGTGACCTGTAGACGGAAGGTGTAGACCTAAGCCATTAGCCGGAAATTTGTAGACACAAACTGTAGACATTATCTCCGGAACTCCTCTGTAGACATAACCAGTAGAAGCAACTTATAGAAAGTACACCTTAGACAACCTGTAAACGTGAGTTGTAGGCAACCTGTGGACAGTATGGTGTAGACATACCTTAAGACAGTGGCTTGTAGACGATTCCTGTGATAGGTAACAAAGACGGGGAGGAGACAGTTACTGTACATAATCTTCAGACAGACGCACACTGTAAACAAGAACCTGTAGACAGAAGACGTAAACATGGGGTGCAGGAGGGAGGAGGCTGAGGGTGGCCCGCCGTGTGTACCGACCCCGGGAGAGCATGTGGCTAATGGCCTCTAACCTAATGCCTTGCGCCTGCCCTGCGTTATGTTAGTAATTGTTACTGGAGGCTACGGATGGGGAGGACCCCGTTCTACCCCGGCCAGGTCAGGCAGGTTTGGGACTTAAATATCATCGTCTGGTGGGTCGAGGTAGCTGGGAGGGTGGGTCGCCCCGCTGGGTTGGGTCGGGGTCGTGAGTGGGCTGTGTGGGGGCCCCAGGCAGGTGCAATAATGTTAGATGAGAGCCATCATTCCCGGTGGGGGCCCCAGGCAGGTGCAATAATGTTAGATGAGAGCCATCATTCCCGGCACACATGTTGATCACTGACTGGCATCGTCGTGCCTCGCCCGGAGCCAATCAGCCTGAGGCGCCCCACGCACGGGCCAACACGTGAGCAGCGCGCGCCGCTCGCTCCTCCTACTCCATCCTTATTGGCCCATCAAGTTTTCAGGCGACCAATCGTGAGGGAGGTGGGCCGGCCCATTTCCTGAACGGCATCTTCCGGGAAAGAAAGACCTAGTAATGGTTTCCTTGCCGTGGATTATATGCCCCTCTTCACTAAAAGAGGAGCAGGTAAGCATCACGGTTAGTCGGGGGAAGAAAATGTCTCGTATACATCTATCCAGATGCTGCCCGTGCCCTTCTGGCTCCGGGTGTGGGCATCGGTAGCGGGTATAGAGCAGGTGGGCCGTATGGGGATAAAGCTAGAGAACATTACAGGTGAACAGGTAGTCTAGCGCTGAAGGTCACAGTGAACAGTACTGGACGTGTGGGGCGGCGGCGCTGACGGTAGCTGCAGTAGTTGTAGTGGTGTCCGCCTGTTACTGACGAGAGACAGTGTTGTTGTGGTAGACTTTGAGTCCATCTCTCCCTTCTGGGAACGCTTATTGGGTAGAAATCTCGCTAAGTCTCTCCACGTGTTGAGATAGAGACTTAGTGAAGAGCTACAAGATGAAGTCGACGAGTATAGACGAGCCGAAGATGGAGACGCGGGTGTTGATGCCGGCAGAGTTCTCACTGGTGGTGACGGCGCGACCGCTGCCCCCGCTGGACCGTCTCGTGCCTGCTGAGGACTGCATCAAGGTGTGCGCCACTCGCCCTCTGCCAATCCAGACCCGCTACCTCCCCTTCAGCGGCACCGTCAGAGCGGACAACCTGCCGCTTCTCCCCTACCTCCCTCCCATGGACGTAAGTACCACCATCTCTTACCAGTGCTTTAACCAAACATTGTTTATCTGAGGGAGAGAGAGAGAGATGAAGTGCAGCATCAGTTCAGAACAAGACACATCCCACCTCACCTGTAGACGCACCCACAACAGACGTAGTTTAGATAGTCTTCCTGGTAAATACATTAAATAACCTCTAGAGTACTACTGAAGGAAGACTGAACTGTGAGGATCTGTAGACGAAATTATTCCATGGGATTTACACTCCAGGGTTGAGGTCCCAGCCTACTGAACGCTCACGAGTGTTCTCCTGTTGTCTCTCTCTTGTCTCTGTGCCTCTAAAGTCTCTCTTAGCGTTAGTATAATATGAGTTACTTGTAGTTTATATCTCTCTCTCTCTCAGTGTCTCTCTACATTGCTACAGTATCTCTAAGTTTCATTCTCATCTCTCTGAAGTGTCACTGCAATCTCTTCTTGTTAGTCACTGTCATCTCTCCAGGTCACTAAAAGCTCTATAGGTCTCACTGAAATCTCTGTCTCTGTCTCTCTAAAGTACTATATGATTATCTCTCTATCTGTCTCTCTAAAGTACTATATGATTATCTCTGTCTCTCTAAAGTACTATATGATTATCTCTCTATCTGTCTCTCTAAAGTACTATATGATTATCTCTGTCTCTCTAAAGTACTATATGATTATCTCTTCTAAAGTCTTCAAAGTACTATATGATTATCCATTCGTTGGTTCTAAAGTACTATATGATTTATCTCTGTCTCTAAAGTCTCTCTCAAAAAGCAATTATATGATTGTTCTCTGTCTTCAAAAGTCTCTCTCAAAGTACTATATGATTATCTCTCTCTAAAGCCCCCAAAGCACTATATGATTTGGCCCTCTGTCTCTTCTAAAAGTCTCTCTCAGCAATTATATGATTATCTCTCATCTGTCTCTAAAGCTTCTCTCAAAGTAATTACATGATTATCTCTATCTGTCTCTCTAAAGCACCATATGATTATCTCTCTCTCTCTCTGTCTCTAAAAGTCTCTCTCTAAAGTACTGTACATTTATTCTCTCTCTGTTCCTCTCTCTCTATCTGTCTCTCTAAAGTACTATATGATTATCTCTCTCTGTCTCTCTAAAGTCTCTCTCTAAAGTACTATATGATTATCTCTCTCTCTCTTTCTCTCTAAAGTACTATATGATTATCTCTCTCTCTGTCTCTCTAAAGTACTATATGATTATCTCTCTGTCTCTCTAAAGTCTCTCTCTAAAGTACTATATGATTATCTCTCTGTCTCTCTAAAGTCTCTCTCTAAAGTACTATATGATTATCTCTCTGTCTCTCTAAAGTCTCTCTCTAAAGTACTATATGATTATCTCTCTCTCTCTCTCTCTCTCTCTCTCTACCATAATACACGCAGTCATTCTAATACTATTTCTCCTCGATAGAAAACGCATTTCCTCACACCTCCAAAGAACTCTCACTGAACTTTTAAAACGCTTCTATCCCAAAATTTCAACAAAACAGGAGATAAAGTTTTAAAACACTTCTTCCATTAAATTTAAAAACTTTCAAGTGAAGCTTTTTAAAAAATTTTATCATTCGCTAAAAAAATAATACTTGATGACTTATTAAGACAGAAATATAGACACGTGTTTAGTCTCTCTTAACTCAGATAAACAAAGTTGTTAAATTTTAGTAATTAAGTAGTTAATGTGTGTGTGTGTGTGTGTGTGTGTGTTTCATATATGGATAAAAAAAATCCATATCATTTATAATTTGGTATATTAATTTCTATTCTAATTAGTAAATGTTAAAAAAAATCACTTATGTTCTAAAGAAATATTTCTCTACTAATTACCATAAAAAAACTAATAATACCTCTATGTTTTCTGCCGACTAAAAATTCACTAATTATCATCTGAAATGTTATTATTGACGTGAGAATTAATTGCAGTATATTTTCCTCCCTTCCACTGTGTTAATGTTAGTTGCCATGTTAAGTGGAAAATTCTCTCTTGTTAAATTCACTTTTACTTAACTCATTTTACGCCTTAACAAACCGTGAAAAGCTCATTTGGCATTACAAGTACCTTTCATGTCCTAAGATTATATGTACACTGTATATAAACATTATTACTTATTCGCCATTAACAATGTATACAGCCATGCTAACTCATTCCTCCGGCTAAATACACATGAGTACACATATATACATACATATAACACATTCACTCATACACTATACACCGCATACCATACACCACACCACCCCACACCGCGCATCGTATGTTAATCTTAGCCTTATTTAATTTACATAATCATTTAACAAGATAATTAACATGACTGTAAAGCATTACTAACACGGCACCACGTACAATTAGCAAACACCATCGGGCTATCACGTCGGGCTATCACATCGGGTTATCACGTGTAGTATAAACGATTGTCTTGGCGATCTACCCGACAGGCCGACAAGAGTACCTGATAATTTTATACAAGGGAGACGAGAGGATAATTATGTAGTACAGGTAGTGAAGCCGTAGGTAGTCACAGGTCCCAGGTACTCACAGGTATAGGTACAGGTTCAACACGTGTCACTAGGCTGGTGTGTTTGAGTTACTTGTGCGCGTTGCAAGTCACATGTGCACCTTGTAATTGACATATGTGTCTTGTCAGTCACATATGCGTCTTGTAAATCACATATGCATCAAGAGTAAAATAATAATCCTGAAAAAATAATAACATTTACTTTCGCTGTCTCTTATTAAACTCTTAAGAGGAAAGAGGGAGGGAAAAGCACCAGCCTCACCCCCACGAAATTTATACACACAAAAAATGTTTGTCTTTCCCCCTCCCCTCCCCTCTTCCCCCTCCCCCCTTCCCCTTACCCCTTCCCCTTACCCCCCCTTCCCCTTTCCGTAAGATAATACTGAGTCTCAAGATAGCCAACGTGTCTAACTCAACCTCTTTTTAATAATCACGGCTGGAAAGTGTGGTGGTGGTGGTGACGATGGTGGATAAGATTTCTCAACACAGGAAGTCTCTCTCTCTCTCTCTCTCTCTCTCTCTCACTAAGTTATTCGTGGGGTCATTCACTTATTCTCTCGCTTATTCGGTTATTCAGTCACTCATTATTTCGCTTATTCAGAGGCTCACTCACTCACTTACTTAAAGTCTTTGGGTTCATCCAGTTTCCCTTCCTGGAGCCGACAACACACACACACACACACTAACACACACACACACACACACACACACACACACACACACACACACACACACACACACACACACACACACACACACACACACACACACACCAAACCTAAACTATACACTTTGATATCACAACCCTAAGTGCTTTGTTGGGTGCTGCTGGATTTTAGCGTAAGAGAGAGAGAGACGGGGAGGAGAGAGTTTGCGTGTGAGAAGGGAGGAGGAGGAGGAGAAAGAGAGGGGGAGGGAGACGATGAGAGAAGGGGGGTGAGATGGGGGAGTAACTAGGAGAAAGAAGGGAGAAGCTAGAGGGAGGAGAAGGTGAGAGAGAGAGAGAAAGAGAGCAACAAGATAAACTCCAGCCGTCTTATCTCTTTGAACGGTCTCTAATCAACAAAAACAAGACCCCAAAAACAGAAGACCTCCGCCACTATACCAGTCATAAACTAATGTACTTGCTGCTACCGTGTCACTTGTGTAGTCTTTGAGTTGACCGCTGGCGTCACCCACACACACATAAAATATTCGCTCGCCTCAGGGACCTATTCCAGAACTGTTCATATACCAGGGAGAGAGAGAGAGAGAGAGAGAGAGAGAGAGAGAGAGAGAGAGATAAAAACTACAGGTATAGGTAAACAATTAGAGATAATGAGAGAGAAAAATAGATATATGAAAGAAAAAAGAGAATACTGTAATTCAGACTAACGGCACCTACCACTACCACCACCACCACTACCAGTAGAATAAACGCCCCAGAGAACGAAGCCTTTGCTAGCTACCTACGGACACCGACCACAGACAATTACCCAGTACCACCGCCCTGTGTAGTCATGTGCCCGTCCCTCCCGGCTACCCTCCAAGCGACCCCGTCCCGATCCCTTCATACAGCATCGACCTCGGTTTCGTTATGTGACTTTAACAAATATTCTTCTATCTCTTTCTTTTGTCTCTCTCACTCTACATATACATTACGATCTGTGGTAATTCTTCACGTTATAAATTTTGTTTTTGAGTTAGTGGTGTAGTAAGGATCATGACTGTGAAGAGAGTTTATGCTGAATTGAAAGAACGGGAAGATTTTTTTTTAAGTGTATAAAAGTCTGGTCCAAGTGAGTGAGGGAGTTTCCCCCGTTATTGTCTTTTGCTGGTGTTTTCCTCTTTATTTTCTTTCTTTCTTTCTTTCTTTCTTATAATTTTATGTATCTTGTGAGGTACCCGCCCTTCACGCCTCACTCTTGATGCTGCTGCCGTTGTTGTTGTCATATCGACGGTAATGTGTGATTTAGAGATGAGGTTTAATGTAATCTCATCCTCCTTCCCTGCTCCTCCTGCTCTTCTTTCTCTTCCTTCTTCTCCTGTTACCTTTCCTTCTCCTCATTTTTGTTCTCTTTCTCTCTCTCTTTCATCTTCCCTCTATCTCTCTGGCTACACCGTCTTCGTCTGTCAGTTACCCTTCCACTTCGTCTCCTTCACCTCCACTGCCATAGTCCCCTTGATGCCTAGTTTAAACCCTGTGATCTACTTCCTTCACCTGCTGAGGTGCTTATGATCTCCATCTCTCCGCCTCCCTCTTATCTCTCCCGGCCAGACCGCTAGGAGATACGAACACGCATTTGCATCTGCAGGTCATATTCACAGCCAAGTTACCTTTGGGTCTGTCTTTAAACTTACGACGATTATCTCCGCTAATAATGATTTGTTTGCCGTTAAGATAAAAAAAATAGCAAAAACTCTTTATTTACGATGACCCGAAACGCAGTGCGAATAATAAACATGAATATGGAGGAGGAACCGCAGAATTACCGTCATTAATTTGGTAAAGAGGCTCAGAGGGCCGAGTTCTGAATCACAATTATTAATTAAGTAAAGGAGGCGAGGAGGGACGGTCGGTTGGGCACGGCAGGGGGGGAAGGAAGGGGACTTGACTCACAGAGGGAGTTAATTCAGGGAGGACTTAACTCAGGGAGGATATTGCTCAGGGGAAGACCTGGCTCAGAGGGAGCACTTAACTCAGGGAAGGCCTGGCTCAGGGGGAGCACTTAACTCAGGGAGGACCTGGCTCGAGGGAACGGATGCTGCGAGCCAGAGCAGAACGAGATGACCGGCCGTCCCTTTGTCTTGTGGCGGTGAATCACGTTCTCTAGCGAGCTGACCTTAATGTCCTGCCCAGGAAGCTGCCGCGGCGGCCCCAGGCGACGGCTCCTTATTCCGTGTGGCTCTGGGAAGAGGAATGGTAGGAGAGAAGAAAGGAAGGAAGAGAGGAAGAGGAAGGGAAGGAAGAGTGGAAGTAGCAGGGTAGCGGTGCTAGATGAGAGGAAGGGATAAGGACTTGTAAAAGAGGAGCAAGAGGAAGGTGAATATGGGAAGGAGGGAACAGGTAAAGACTCGGTTACAAGGTTAATGTAAAGGGTCAGGTTAATTTACTGAGGGCGTGAGAGGCTTCCCTAAGGAGACAGGCGGACACCTCGGGGAGGGAGAGACACTGCAGCTAAGAGACAATCCTGAGGAAATGGTTCTGTAATGACAAGTGCGAGGGACGGGTTAATAAGGAAAATAAGTACTTAAGTAGGACTTTAAGGATCTGTAAATACATCCTTGACAAAGAACCTATGAACCCGCAGGAACTGTCCTCTTAAGAAGGAGTTGTTCGGCGTCTTTATGTGTTGCATCATGAAACATGTATGAACTCATCCCGGGTTATATCATGTTTACTGGTGTGTCTCGGGCGTAAGGAAGCCTCTGTGTAAGACTTGTTGGTAAGCTTCTTAAGGTTTTAAGCTAAGATTTCAGAACTTCTTGCTAGAGCGTAACGTGTCTTTTTTTAAGCTTCTCATGGACTACCTTCATTGTGTGTGTTTGTTTGTGTACAAGTGTTGTGCGCGCGAGTGTCGTGGTCTTACAGGTTGATGATAAAAATAGTGTAAATTATTACAGCATAGCTCAGTTGTGACAGGTGACTAATTATGGTTATCTCTCCTCAGGTGCGGTCCAGGTATGGCGGCTACGACTCCGTGGACGAGGAGGGGCGACGGACATGTAACTGGGTTCGCTTCCTCAAGGTGGCGCCCGTCTACTCCCATGAAGTTAATCTGGTGGGGCGGCGAGCTGGTCCTCGGGGCGACGTGGTATTCGAAGTCGTCCGAGAGATCCTGCCCGGAGGCGAACTCCTGGCGTTCCTGCTGCCGGACATGAACGGAGAGAACGCCTTACTTCTGCCGGCACTGACACTTATTAGGTCATCACTCTACCGCCGCACCATTGATTCTATCATGGCTGAGGCGCCACTGGACTTGTCCAGGTCCCTGCTGACCTCTCCTCCCCCTCGCCCTACCAACACAAGCGCTTTGTCCCGAGACTCTGACGCTGTCTCGCCCTCATCGTCTCCCTCCCCATCATCCTCACCAGCGTCGTCAACCTCCTCAGCTCCGGCTTTCTCACCAACAGCGTCGTCAATGTTCCACGTAGGTCGTTCTCAACTACAGTTTGGGCTGCCTCCTCGCCTACCCATGGGTCTGGCACCACAGTCTCCCTCAGCAATGTCTACAGGCAGTTCCTCCAGTATTTCTGTCCAAAACAGTTCAGTATCTCCGTCTCTGGCTCCTGCCAAGCGGCGGGAGCGGACGATGCTGCCGTGCTCGGAGTGCGGGAAGGCCTTTGATCGGCCGTCGTTACTCAAGCGGCACATGAGGACCCACACAGGCGAGAAGCCACACGCGTGCGACGTGTGCGGTAAAGGCTTCTCGACGAGCTCCTCACTCAACACACATCGACGGATCCACAGTGGCGAGAAGCCTCACCAGTGTGGCGTGTGCGGGAAGAGGTTCACGGCGTCCTCCAACCTCTACTACCACAAGATGACCCACGTCAAGGAGAAGCCACACAAGTGTTCGCTGTGCACCCGCTCCTTCCCCACCCCGGGAGACCTTCGCTCCCACATGTTCGTCCACAACGGCCAGTGGCCCCACAAATGCTCCGTCTGTGGTAAAGGCTTCAGCAAACTCACCAACCTCCGCAACCACGCACTACTACACTCGGCCAAGACCCGAGTACCACCTCCTTCGGCGCCAGTGTCGCCATCTTCAGCCTCGCTGTAGCCTCAAAGGGGGCTTCAGCGCCCCTCTCAGCTCCTTCCACAGGTCCCAACTTGAAATATAAAGACGCCGGACGCATCTTCAATCTTGACACCAAACATGACACAATGCCAAATAGAGTCTAGAGAAGCTGCCCCTTCCCTCTGTGGTGAGGTAGTGGAGTCGTTCCGTCCTCGCTCCTCCAGATGCTCTTGGCGAGATATACCTCCCCCTCTACATCTGTGATCTCCTACATAAGTGTGCAATATTTATTTTTGTATATAATGTATATATTTGTCCATCCATCAATCTTTATATGTAAATAAAATACCTTCATTCA